GGGGCGCTAGAGCCGTCTTCATCTTATTAGCTCGGCAGAAAAGCAGCGGCGCCATCCCCATGGCGACTGTCACCATGGAGGGGCCTTCACCCGCGTCTCCACGGCAACGGCCCAGAGCCTGGCAACTGCCGCCTTGCCAGGAGGAACCCGAGCCCAGAACCCGCGCCAGGTGTTTGCTGGGGGTGGGGACAAAGAAGAAGGGGCAAAGGCCACTGGTCCCCCACACCGCACCCTCACCTACCCAACCTCCATTCCCAACCACCGCCCAAGACAAATGGAAAGACAGACGGACGGACACACCTCGGCACAGCACATGTATCACTTACAGCCCGCGCTGGGTTCCCCTGGTCGATGGGGTTCTTGAAGTCAGTCCGCAGCTCATCAAAGGCTATGATCTGAAGGAGGGGCGTGTGCCCGTCAGGGTTGAGGCAGCAGCAGAGGCCTCCCTCCTTCCGTGGGATAGGAATTTATACATGGGGACCGGGTCAGATGGAACTTGTGGCAAAGGGGAGAAACTGAGGCCCAGGGAGGGACAAGACCTGGTTCAAAGTCACACAACCATCCAGAAAGGAATCGTAGTGTCGTAATGTTTGGTTTTGGCCATTTCCACTATACTCTTCCCAAACACCCTAAAACATGGTCCCTTTTCTGCTGGAAAAGCACTAGAAGCCTGAGATCTGGGCTGCAGCTCTTGCCTGGGAGGAGCCCCAGGTTTGCGGGAGAACTCAGAACTACATTGGAGGTGATCAGGGCTGTGGGGTATCAGCAGGACCTCGTGTGTAGGGGGAGTGGGGGTTCAGGCTGACTCTGAGTGGGCGTTTGGTGAACGAATAGGAGAAAGTCTAATCAGCAGGAACAGCAGATACAAAGGCATAGAGGACGGAAAGAACATTCAGGAAGCAGCTCCAGATTCATGGGCCTGGAGTAAAAGGAGTGTGGGAAGGAGGGACTGGTGCAGAACGAGGCTGGAGAGGTCAGCGTAGCCAGCCAGACGTAGGTGGCCAGACCAGGAGTTTAGGTTTCAACACGAGTCATGGGGAGCTATTGAGGGCTACAAACAAGCAGAATGGGGCAGTCAGCCTGGTGTCTTAGGATTGGTGGGGGTACAAGCTGGCTCACTATCATAGCCAAGACACTCAACCGGATTTCTGTTTATTCATTGAACACTTGTAATAATCTAATGACTTAAATGTTAGTATTATTTTCATTTCTGTTTTGCAGAGAAGGAAGCTTAGACAACACTGTTTTGTCCAAGCCACACCTTGATAAGTCAGGATTATAACTCAGTCTGACTGTAGAGTTGAAATACTAACCATTTGCTATACTCAGGCTGGACCAGTGAGGGGGCTGTTGGAGTGTCCAGGAAAGGATAGTGGGGGTCTGAGTGGACAGAGTGGCAGTAGAGAAGGAGAGGTGTGGATGAATTCTGGAGCTCTCCAGGAGCTGACTCCAAGGGGCTTGTGCAGTGGTGAAGTAAAGTAGAGAAGTCTAATTCTTTCCTGTTGGGAGTGTCTGGCAGATGGCAGTATCCTCAGCAGGGGGAACTTCTGGAGGAGCAGGTGTTTAAGGAGAGGAGCTGGCATGTGACTTGGGGGAGGTGGGCTGGTAGGGGAACCTGGTAGGGTCCCCTCCCCTCAGCTCCAGCCCTAGGAGCAGCAGCAGGCCCACCACCCCCAAGCAGCCCAGATCCCAGACGGCTCAGAGGCAAAGAACATGGGCTTCCTGGAGGGAGCTGGAGCCATCTGGGCACTCTCCCCCAACTCCTCATTGACTCTGGGCAGGCGCCCCACTTGATAGGCACAGCAACAGGGTCCAGGAGGGAGCGGAAGGGTGCCGTCTGTCTGCCCCTGAGCTGGCACCACCAGCAGGCAGCGGGTTTGCACTTCCCACCCCCTAGGCTGCCTGGCGCTGACTCAGCCCCCCGGAACAAACAATCCCCCATGACAGCTGACATGCATCACTCACTACCAGGGTTGCCTAGCGACCAGTGGTGCCTGATCTCAGGACTTGGGTTGGGATCTGGGGTCTTGCCCTGGAAGGTTCTAGTTCATACCAGCTTTAGATTGAAGACCACACTTCCTCTCCCCTGCACTCTTAGTAGACCTCACTCTGGGCACTGATGTCTATAAGCCTACTCTGCTGATTAGAAAACAGGCTCTCAGGATGAATGACTTGCTAAGATCACCCAGCTAAATGACTGAGCAAACACAGTGCCCCACACATAGTAGGTGCTCTGTGCATATCTGTTGAATGAATAAAGGTGTTACTTCAAAAGTTGGGTCCTTCCTCTCAGGCTGGGCAATCCACAAGGGCAAAGTCTGGTTCTTATGCATCCTTGATTCTCTCAAACCCACGGAGACCCTGTATCTCTGAGAATCCCAAGACTACCTGGGGGGAGGGGTTCCTGAAAGGGGGCTTCTTGAATTCCAGTTTAGCTGTTTCTCAGTCTGTGATCCCCAATTGGTTTTGGTCGTTAGGATTCAAGCCTTCCTGCCACCACCCGCAGAACTGTCCAAGGCCCCGGGTGTGGAACAGAAAGCACAGAGAGATCAAGATGGACCTAGGGGAATGGAAGGAGGGAAAGAGAAATAGAGCAAGGGAGAGGGAGGAAAAATAGCAACTGAGACACTCGGAGAGTTAGAGGCACAAAGGCAGGGAGGCAGAGCGTGGAGATGGGGTTGTGCTGCATGGAGGGCCTGTGGGGCTCACTCCTCAGAGCAGGGGCACAGCAGGGTCAGTGAAATCCCAATGTAAAGAAGGCAGTGGAGATGGCAAAGAGGGGTGGGGAGAGTGCAGGGGGAACCATGGAGCAGGCAGCAGGTCCCACGAAAAGGAAGGCGAGAGGAAGTGGGGAGAGCAGGAAGAGGCAGGTGGAGCAATGGAAGGAAGGAAGGAAGGAAGGGAGGGAGGAAGGGAGGGAGGAAGGAAGGAAGTGGTATGGCAGAGAGGTTGGAGAGGGGTAAGAGGACCCGAAGGGAATGAACATCAAGGAGGCTTGAGCGGGAGGGGGTGGGCAGAGGGCTGCAGCAGACAGGCCTGGAGGGGACATGGGGGTCAGAAACCTTAGGGTGCAGTGGAAGAGGGAGGGCTTAGAGGGGGACCACGGCCCCAAACAGTGAGCTGGAGGCTGACTGATAGTTCTGTAGTGAAGGGAAGGAGGCCAGGTAGAGGAGGCCCTTGAAGAGAAGGATCCTTTCTAGAAGTCAGTCATCAGGATGAGACAGTAACATTGTGAAGAACCAGGTGTGAGGCTAGGTCAGGGTGAGAGGGAGACCAAGCGGGGATGCACAAGACGAAGGAGATGTGGGAACAGGAATAGGAGGGAGGTTGGGAAGTGGAGAGGGAATGGGGGGTCCCCCAAGTAAGCCGCAGTGGGGGCTAGGTTTCTGGCACTGGTTAGTGCCCATGGCTGCTTGGCCAGGGAGGGGGCTGGGAAGGGAATGGGTTAATGGAGTCTGAGATATGTGGGTCCTGTAAACAGATGCAGTTGCCATAGCAACCGGCTCCATCACTCTGGCTGGAAAAACCCACGACGGGGGGGGTGGTGGTGGTGGTGTAGTGGCAGACAAACTGCCCAACGGACGGACAAACGGGGGATGGATGGATTGAGGGGGTAGAAGGAGAAGGAGTTCCAGATTTTCCCCTCCTCCCCACGAATGGATGAGGGAAGGGGGGTCAGGGGCTGACTGACATACTCACAGACAGGCGGAGGCGTCAGAAAAAGGCCCCCCCCCCCCCGGGAAGGAAGCCGACAATGGGGGGTGTTAATGGGGGCGAAGAAAAATGGACTGATGTGGGGATAGCGGG